TACAAGTTCTTCAAATACCTATAGAATGATAGGTTTCTTTTTTTTTAGTGTAAAACACTTAAATACACCATTTCAAGTCTTCATGTTAGTTTTAACATTATCAGCTGGTTTTTGTTTTCTCATATCTTTTATATATATATCTTTTCTTCAGTTCTGTAAATATTTAACCTGTCCACAAACTTAACTCTCTTATCCCAAATTTACTAATGATAGTCTCATGGTCTCAAAATTGGTTTTCTGAAAGTTAGGAACTAAACATTCATTTTGTTGTATCTCAACATGTACACCAAATCACCAGACTGTTATGTTATGACTATTGTTCTCCACATATTGATTCACTTCACCTCTTGTAACCATATCCTCAATAACGGTTAACATTAAGTCTAAAATGATTGGTTTTCTGACAATTTCATTTTAAAAAATCATCATAAATCCATTCCAGAAACCTCTCTCCATTACTAATTGACTCAATACAATACCAGTCAATGTCTGTAATTAACCTCCCATAATTATTGCAGTAGTGTCTTTATTAGTAATCTTGATCTCGATATACAATCCCTCAATTTACTTTATCTACCTGATCAAGTAGGATATAACAATTGCCAATTAAAAACTTCCTACCCTTGACGGAAACAAAACTATACACACTGCTCCAGGATTTTTCACAAGGGCTACAATAACTTTCTTGCTTTTAAATTGAAAATTCTAATAAAAAAAAAGATCCCAGTAAAAAAGTGTCAGTTTGCAAAAGTTTCATTGACAGGAAGAATTATGGCAATATTTTAATAATCGAGATGAAGCCTTTTAGACTGATACAGAACTATTTAAGTTAACTTTTTTTTACATCCTAAAAATGTTTGTTTTTGTGATGTTAAAAGTTGATTTGAACTTAGGTTGCTTAGTTTGCATGCATAAGTAAAAGTTTAGTTATATTTTACATTTATATGTGCAGCCACAGTGCTGGTTTCATTAACTCCTTATTAACAAATGATTTCCTGTGGTCTATTGAAAATAAAGTTGGTTTTGTCAAATTCTATCATTGTGTAATTCTTTTTCTTAGAATAGAAAATTATATTTATCCAATTTAAACAGTATATTTTACAGGGTTTACAAGTTCCAAAGTATACATAAATTTGTATACTTATTGCTGGTATACTTTTGGCTCAGATGGGAAACACAAGTGAGTATAGTATATAAGTGGTTTCAGACACAGAAAAAATAATTTTCAAAAATAAACTGAATAAACTTTACATCAAGATCAATAATTTTATTTGTGTATGCAACAACATATTTTGCTAAAAAGTACTATATTTGATTTTGGAAAAAGTACAAAAGAAATAGAAAATAATTAATAAAGTTATAATGAAAATCGATGACTGCATAGGCTACTAATCATTGCAACAAAAATGAAAATACCTAAAAATATTTTTAAAAATTTAGTTAATTTTACAAAATAAAAATCCATAAACCAGAGCCTTTAACATGCCAAAGCCAGTAAAGTTGTTTTTTTATGTCACGCTAATAAAATACTGAGAAAGAGAAAACAAAGTGTAATGATATTCATGTTGTATAAAAAAGCTGCCTAGATAATTGAAAGAGGATACATTTAGGGTTACTTGTTCATACTGAACTGTTGACATCATTTGGCAAATATCTCGTGTACAATCTCAAGGTATGAAAACAGTTAAAGTTATGTATACATATATATTCTTTAAAAGCTTTAAAATTGGTAAAGAAGCTACTGAGAGATGAATTAATAGATTCAAACTAGGGAATAACTTTTTAGAGTACTTTATGTTGTCTGTTTTTGTTTGTAGATGTTTGATTGAAGGTATGAGGTGGAGACATGGCAACGAAGTTTCTTCGTCTGTTCAGTCGGTGGCCAAGCCTTCAGAGGACACAGACGCACTGTACTACAAAAAGTAGTTGTCAGTGGTCATATCGACGGTTGCACATGCTTATTCTCACTAGTCATCTTCTAGGACAAGGCCCTACAGGTATATTAATCTCTGTGTTTTAACATACAAAAGATTGTATTGAATTATCCATTGAAGGACCAAATGACCTGTTCTTGTCTGTAGGTTATTTTATATTAATATACCTATAGGTATATTAGGATATAAGTTTTTTGCATGCAGGAAAGGTTGTATCTAACTTTTCATTAATTTATAACATATAATCATATTTTAAACTCAAAAGTATAACAGATTTACAACATGTCATTAATATTTCAGTTATTATAATGTGCCATTTTATGTTTTATTTAACAAATTTTAAGTAAGAAAAAGTTGATCTTGTGGCTCATTGAAGCCAGACTGTATAGAACAAAAGAATCAGCAAGGAAAGAAAAAGCCTATTGAAATTCTTTCTGTATAGAACATAAGGAACAAGGTGACAGATCATTCAGCCCATTAGGGTGATCCTATATAAAACTTACGAAGGCATGAACAAATAAAGTGACAGAATAATTAGTTAAAATGCTAAAAAACAATCCAAACTTTACAATCATGGTTTTAACGTTTTCCATACCAATTTTGAACCCCTACTATCTCTTTACTCTGATCATGGATTTTATCATTTCAGCTAAAATGTGGCAAATTTATTTTTACATTTTAATGAAAAACTGGTTGTACTGGTACTTTTAAACCACTTTATTACACACTGTATGTTATCTTTTTTTTGGATACAGTTGATGGAAGTTTCAGTATTGGAATTTATCCTCAGTATAGTTTTACAGGATTTTATATATATATTACAGCAGTTTCCAAAGTTCATCATTTATATTTATTAAAAATCATCTTAATAGGACACATAGAACTGTTAGTAGTTATATATTTTTTAATTACAATTTTAAAAAATTTAATAATTTATACAAGAAAAACTTAAATCATCTCATACATAGATATTCTGGAAAAGTTGATTACCCTAGTATTACCTTATATGCATGAACATATAATCAAATCAATAAATATATTGGATATATGTGTTCACATTATCAATTAAGATATGTTTTTAAACTAGTTACTAGAATCAAACATTTCTTTAAACTTAAAGGTAGAAAGTGCCGAAATGTAAGCACTCATTAGCTGAAAAGCCTTTTTGACACTGGATATAGCAGATATGGCGTGTGTTTGATATATTATTATGCATTCTTCTTTACTTTCATTCAGAAAATTTTATAATTGGTTCTTTACAAATTTATATGTTTTTGTTAGGCATCTCTTGACACTCATGAAAGAACACTTACTGCTAAAACTTGAAATACATCGAGTGAGGCACGTCATATTACAAACAGTGATTTTGATTTTAACCATAAGATTTAGCTGTTATGTTATTCTTACAATTTGAATTGTAATGTAGAAATGTGAAAGAAGTCCATAGCAAAACTATTAAGAACATCAACCTGAGTTAAATGTAAATGACCAATACATATTAGAATATCTAATTCTGCGGGTGTCACTGGTTTGACACCATTCCTACTGTGGACCTGATGTACAATTCCAGATATTGCCAGGTGTTGGATGTAGCACTCTGCCATGTATATATATATAGATGAAAAATAACAAAATCAAAAAATGCAGTTTGCCCCTCTAGTTGAGACATCCTACTTCCTACACATAAGTCCTCCCATGTGTTTGGCTGGTACCCTTCTCCTACCACAGACTGGACAATAAGTTCCCAATACCGCCAGGTCTTGGACTGGAGATGCAACCCTGAAATTGCAGTCTCTCTTCCTACCGTCCTCTGGATGCTGGTTCCCAGTGGATATGGTGTTGGTTGTGACTGGACGAGACACATGACATCCTACTTGTCAAATTCCCAATGACTCCAGGTTTTGGACCAGAGATGAACACTTACCTGGACTCTCTTCCTCCCAAAAACATGCAGGAAGTCAGTTTTTGGTAGATCTGAGGTTGGAGGTGGATTCTTGGTACAGGAACTCCTCTTCCCTGCCGGTACCTGTTTTTGAGGTGAAAGTTAGAGGACTATCTTCCTACCGCAGATCTGAGGTACAATTCCAGATGTGCTTTGTTGGTTGAAGTGGAACTCATTTATGGTCTGTTGTTCTCTAGCCACTCTCACCAGGAGGTCCCATTATTTTTCTATTTTTATCGGACCCCTCCAAGTTCCCGCCCTTTATGTTTTGGCGACACATTATTAAAGGGCAAAGAGTATACCTAACTCAGAAGTGGTGTAGTCTCCCACTGGTGTTTTGTTATAATTTCATATCACACCTTATGGTCTTTGCTTGGGCACTTCTTAAAGGAGGATCATCTTCTCACTGGCCCTCCATCAGTTCAGTGTGGGAATCTAGCATTTTATGAGTAGAGGTAAAATATTGTATCGGAAATTAACATTTTCCTAAACTGAAAATGTATTTCCAAAAGATACTTACTGCCGCTCACATTTCCCACCCATCCTCCCCACTTCTGGTGTAAATTGGTTTGGTTTGTTATGACTAATTTCGAAGTGATTAATATTGTTATGATTAAAGAGGGCACTAGTTAAGAAAGGGGTAGTGTCACACTTCCATTGGTGAGGCATTGCCACATGAGCATTTGCATATTAGTATGCTGTAATAAGTGGGAGTAACAAGGCTAGTGGCGAGCAAAAATTTGTGCCAATAGAGAGCAGTACATTTTGAGAATGTTTTTGTGAAAGGAGGCAAGTTTCTATCGAAAAGACATTTTGTTTAGGAAAATTTGAATTTTCATGAAAGTATTTACCCATAAAATGTAGCAAAAAATATCTATTTTGATTAATTTCATACATGTGGTCTTTTAATGATGGCTGTTGGCCAAATAAAAAATTTCATTGTGCATTGTAAACATTGATTTTGTTTTTATTTTCAAACTTATTGCTCAAGTTGCCATCATTGAATTGTTAATTTCATTCCTCTTTTTATTACTTACATGGAGTAGATTAAGTAGAATATTTATCATGAATTATTGTTATTAAAAAAAGCCTTTTTGCTAATTGATCCATGAAGCTTATATGTTTATATAATAATTAAAAGAAATAAATTTTTCCTTTTAGGCCTCATAAGAAAGCCTCATCATATTAAATTCAAGATGGATTGTTGGAAAAGATCCCTTGCCACTTCTCTGGAGCCAGAATTGATGTCTCCAAAAGTGACAATTTCTGAAATGAAGCGTTTCTTTGTGTGTAGTAATCTTCCTTTTGAACAGGGCCACACTTGTTTTAGGCTTGTATGTCCATTTTGTCCAGGCAAACCTGTTCCCTCAAAAAGTAACACCTTGCATATCAACATGACAACAGGTAATATAATGATGTAGAAGATGTCATTTCTGATAAAAAATAAATTAATTAATTAATAATAAAGTAAAACTTGTATGGAAATGTTGTAGCCATATTTAATTTAGTATTAGTCTTAATTTATTTTTTTGTAAGTTGTAATCATCCTTAATCAAATGTTGAAGCTTTCTGACATGGTAAATATTACTTCTTCCAGAAATGTCTGAAATACTTCAAAATTTTGATTTTACACAATAAAATTAAAACCCATTATTTTTCAAGATAGTTTTTTTAAGACATAGTTTTTCAAGTGGGACTCATTAAGTTATACACAAGATGAAATACATAGACTAGTCTGTAATCTATGCTGAGTTCATTCCATTGCATGTGGAGATTGTTATTGGGTTAGTTTAGAAGCTACAGAGAATTTCCCCTATATTAAAATGGTCTTCAGAGCTCCAACAGTTGAAAAACCACTGATTTAAATCGTATATGTATAGTTTTAAGTGTGTATTTTTAATAAGATAGGTTACCTGGTGTGAGCCTCTTAGCTTACAACATTACATGAAGTTGAATAGGATACATTTCAGTTCATCCTAAAGATGTATGTGTATGTCACCTCACTGACTGAAGGCTTATATATGAAGCTGTAAACATGAGTACAATGCTTTCCATTGAAAGTTATGAGAAATTGTGTGCATTTTAAAGGTTTAACTGCATACTATATATGAACTAAAACAATTGATGCAAGAAAAAAAGTACGTTTTGATGATTAAATAATCATAAAATAGTGAACATTTACAAACTAGACCCAGGGGTTGGGCATGGCCTAAAGATTAGTGTCTGAAGCTTGGGATTGGAAAGTCTAAGATTTGAGTCCATGATATGTCACTGAATGTGCTTCACACTTTCAGTTATAGACAAGCTATAAAAGAGAAAATCAATTCTGGTTAGCATGAAAGGCTACAGATTGGAAACTCCAAAATTTAAACTAATAATATTCCTTTGAACATGCTTCACACTTTCTGCTATTGGCTCTTTATAAAAGTTATAATCAATCCTTCTGTTTGATTAAGAGTAGCTATATATATAGCGAGTGCTACTAACTGCCTGGCTTTCTTCCTGTCAGCATTTAGAAATTAGGAACGGTTGTGCCTGAACTTTGGGTCTCTTCTCTGTCCATTTATCCCAAGTTTCTGAAGTGCCATTCAGTTTGAGAATAATTAAGAAGAATACCAGCTAGTTTTATCCATTTTTAACTAATTTTTGGTGAGTGGTTCTTTAAATATTTTTGTTGAATCTTACAAAACAGTACATGAAAAATAATTTTAAGTTTTGTTCGAGTTGAAATCCTTGAGTGTTTATTGTATAACTTGATCTTTTTAGGCATGTTTATCTGCTATAGCTGCAAGCAGGTAGGGACATGGCAGGTATTCCAGGATTATATATCTATGATACAGCTGGCTGAGAAACCAGATGAAAGGTATAATAAGTGAAATCTGTGCTTAAATAGTCATGAAATTATCTAGTTCAAAAATAAAACAACTGTCAGTGGCTTCAAGTTGTAACATTTCTCAACAAGTCTCAACCTAGAGTATTTAGATAATAAACACTTTTTTCTCCAAATTCAACATTTAAAACTTATCCTAAATGAAAATGTGTTATCAACAGTAAAATTTTGATATATAAACAAACCTAAAGTGAATTAACATGGCAAAGGCATTATTTACTGGCATAAAAGAAAGAACCAATGTGCCACTTTCCAGCCTGTTGCACCACCTTGTGTCATTAATGTCATTATTAACTCCAATGTACAATCAAAGCCATTTCAATAAATTATTACCAGAATAAATGTTTTAGGTGTTAACTCATCATAATTTTAGATAGTATTTTAAATTTATTATGATAAATATTAGTTATAAGTCTATGCAGTTCCCATTCACATTAAAACATAGCTTGCCATGTAGTCAAATACACGTTTTTGTTAAAAATCTTTCTTTTTTTCTTTGCTGCTTCTAATTTACAGAACTACATGTATCCTCTTCTGTACTTGTTTCATGCAAATGTTTGTTACTGAAAGTAATCATTGGTCTCATCAGATTAATCCTGTCTGGTTGTATCCAGATTTTTAAGTGTTTAATTGAAGTAAATCAGTCGAGTAAAATACAAAATCCAACCTATTGAGACTCAAAGATTAAAATTCACTATTTACGTTAGGTTATGATATATTTAATTGGATTCTTTATTCATTTTATAAGGTTGCAGGATTAATACTGACTTGCACAAGTTGTTCTGTTACTTCAGCTTAAGGGATAAATATGGTTACTTGAGCTTGAGCTCTTTAAAGTTTCATTAAATATTAAACTGTTCATTACTTGGAAAGGGCATGATTTGAAGTGTGATTTTTGAGTTATCGGGAAAGACGAAGTTGTAAATTTGGTGCATAAAAACCAAATTTGTATTACTCCTTTCCAACACTGTAGGACCTTGTGTTACCTTGGGCACTCAGAGTTCCAGCTGAGTCCACATAATAGAATCCCACATAGACAGTCGATTTCACCCTTTACACAACTTTGTTTCTTGCACCCTTGCAATAAAATATATACATCTTTCTCTGTTATATTTAATTACACAGATAAGAATTGGGCAGATATATTGTTTTGTTACTAAATAGTAGTTATTCCATTACAGATAATGCAAAAATTTATTAAGTACTTCTGATGAAAGCATTGATCAACATTTCGTTTCATTCGTACAGTCACCTAATGGTGTGCTCGTTGCAAATGATTTTCTCATAGGTGATTTCCTTTCCTTGGACACTGAAAACAGTCATATTTAATATGCTGTTTTAAGCAGTTGTCTATTTTGAATATAGAGCCCCTACCTTTCTCTCTCACTTCATGTATTCTAGTTGGCTGTGTTTCATTTGTAACACATTTACTTTACAAATTTAAACCTTCTATGAAGGCCTCAGTCACAATGTTTTTCCATGCAAAAATGAAACAGATCTAGTAACAACATTCAAACTGTTTTGTACACTTATCACATTACGAACCATTGTGGAAAATTATTTATATGTATATATTTCTTTGTTTACACATATCTGAATGTATTTAATATTATTATCAGTTGTAGTAGAATAATTATTCATGAGTATACTATCCAACATTTCTCCAGTCAAATTTTTGTTGAACTCAACTCGAACGGTCCTGATCTTGACTCAAGCTCAGATATGGTGAACTCAACTCCAACACTGTCCTTTTCAAATATAATACTGTAATATATTATTGTCTATCAAATTTGTGATTATAAATAGAAAATTAAAACCATTATGAATTTGTAAATTTGATATTATTACCTTGAACACATACTTATTACTTAGCTTAATTTACTTTTTTTTTCTTCTTTAGTAGACAAAACCTTCCAGTTATTGAAGAAACAGGGATATTTTTAACAGACAAAGTTGAAAATGAGATTCAGGAAAGATTGACAGACCTTCAACCAGTTGGAGAACTATCAAGGGAAGAATTCCAACAGATTGTAAAGCTGTTCAGTTTAAAGGTTATCTCAGTGTTTAGATATTGCTGGCCATAATTTATATTTTATATTGTGTCCAATCAAATCTAAATGTTGACTGGTGGATTTTAATCATACATAATTGAAGGAGTCCTTCAACTTTGTTTGGGCACACATATAGATCAATGTATATTGTAGAAATTAAATTAACAGTATAACATTGAATATGCAGCAAGAAAAGAATATCCATTCACAAACATCTTTATTAATGTTTTTGATGACTGTTAGTGATCAAGTCTTATAATGTTACTACAACTGATCTTTATGCTTTATTCTTGTACATATTACAGGTGTGCTAAGAAAATATATGCATTGTAGTTCCCAACAATACATACTGTACACAAAAAGTTAGAACCTGTGTGTGTGTGTGTGTTAAATTGCATTCTTTTAGTACGTTATATAATCATCTCATAATGTCAAACCTGCAGAGTTAATACAGTACTTTTTTTTTTCTGTAGATATATATTCATCTCATAATGTCAAACCTGCAAAGTTAATACAGAATTTTTTTTTAAGTACTATGCATGAGAAGTTTGACAATGTGGGAAAAAGTTTTGGATTGCAATGAATCTAGTGTTCTTATGTTACTATTAAGACTTCTTTAAAAGATGATTTAGATGATGAATAACAATATGTTTGGATAGTATAGTGAGCTTCATTCTCCTACTGTTGTTTAGAGTTGATATTTTGGGCTGCTAGTTAATTAAGTTAATGTAGAACAGTGATGGATGTGTTAAATAGTGGAAATTAGATGCAGCTTAGTAGTGTGGAATTTATAGATTTATTGTTGAAGTGAATTACAACTAAGTAACAGGTGGGTGAGCCAAATATTTTCATGACCTAGCAGAGCCAGGCCACTGCCTTGATTGAATGAGCCAAAACATAAGATGAGTTAAAAAAGTAAATAAATAAATATATATATAAATACAAAACACTACAGAGGCAGAACCGAATAAATGTAATGGGTATTTTATTCAGTGCGCACACATTTTGGAATGAAAATAAAATTTTGTGGCTTTTTTGTATAAACTAAAGTTATGAATCTAAAAATAAATATGTTAAGTACTGTATTTAAAAAACGAAAACTTACCATCCTTCTTTTACTTTGTTCAGATGTGGTTAATTATAAGACTGTCTTGGCAAACTCTTATTTGCTTTTTCCACTTGGATTTAACATCTCGTATCCATGCTCTTGTACACACTGTCTGACTAACTCATCCATCTTTATGACCATTTCTTAGCTCAACAAGATTAAATATTTGTGAGCCAGACATTTGGCTCAAGCCTAAATTAACTTGACCATCTCTGTTGAGAGTAGCTGGAGAAAATAGCTCTTTATTTGTTGATATGTTAGCAGAACAGAGACATCCGTAGCTAATTAATTTCAGTTCCTTGTTCCCTATTCAGTTTGGGAAGAACATATGAATTTGCTTCTGGTAAAGATCTGTTTTAACAGAATACAGAAAATTATCTACACTGTTCAAAATGAACTTTCCAGTCATTGTAATTGTTGTACTTTTCACTTTACTTAATGTAATCAATTATCACTTTTTTTTGTTTTGAACACCATTAATCATTTTTTGTCACAAATGTATATATTGCTGGTGCTATGTGTTACACCATCTTGAGTGATTTTTTTTTCTCCTATTGCATAAGATAAGAAAACAATTAATTATGAAACATGCTTTTTCCACACACAAAATATTTGCCTTGCCTCTTTGTAAACACAGCATTATCTCGGGAACCAAAATTGTGTATATTATAACCAAAATATAGGAATAAGTTATCAATATGATGATATGAATACTGACGATCCTCTGTTTGGTGATTCTTTGAAGGTTTATTGTTTATGTATATATAATTTCAGTAAGTCACAGTTGAACATAAATTTGTTTTACTTGTATATTATAGAGGTTATCAGCTTCAGTGTTTAAACACTTCAATGTTAGAGTGAACAAAGAGAGAACAGCCCTGGTTTATCCATATTATGGTCCAGATCGAAAAATCTTTGGACTGAAATATTCTCATATGCAACCCGCAGCAGAGGAAACAGAAGATTCCATTTTTCCAAAGTAAGACTTTTTCACAGATTAATATAAGTGAGATTATGAAAGATGGATGTTTGGGGTTGGTCCATTAGATCAAGCCCATATTGAAGAATTAATTTTTACTATAATTCTAAATTTACTTGGTGTACTTTTACAAATTTTGGTAAAGTATCAGTAAACATCATTGGTATATTGTACACCAAAAGGCAGACTTTTCAATAAAGTATTTCTGCTAAAAATATGTATGTGAATTTACTGAGTCAGTTTGACTCAGACTAGTCCGAGTGTAAGTTGATTTTTCATATTTCATTTACATTACCTTTAAGATCTCCTAAATGAATATCAACAGTTTTCAAAACTTTATATTTTATTTTCTCTACCTTAAAACTAACTATAGCAAAAGTTGAGAAATATGAAATAAAATCAAAGTACATTTTTTGTAGAATGACTGTATATTGTAACAGACAATTATAATTATGTATCCTAACATCTTCATGCTTCTAAGCCTTTTCAACGACTGCTTTTATTTAAATTTGCTTTATTGCTCTTTGAACTATGTCTGCATTCTAAACTAATGTAGCCAAGCAATAAATTGCTTTGTGAGAGTATATTGCAAGTTACAATAACCAAAGTATTGAACTACATTGTGTATGAGCAGCTCACACACATTCCTTATGGATTTTGTTTTCCCATAAGATTCTAATTTTTACATTTTAGTTACTTTTATACCAATAAGGAGAAATTTTACATGAAAAACAAGAAATTTAATACTTAGGTGTGGATCTTGTACTTTTTTGCTGTTGAAATCTCAGTAAAAGTTGACCCTACTTTTTGATAGGATATGGGTATGTTATTAGTACTTAATTTTTATTTCAAATATGTAACCTAGAACACAAAAAATACAATGTCTTATAACTATTATAATTTAACTGATTTTTATTAAACTATCAATGGGTTAAAATAATACCATTGGCTGGTGAAGACTTGGAAATAGCAAAGAATAAAACTGTAGGCCAAGTAATTTATTAATTTGTCATCAGAACATGCTAACCTTATAAGGAATTCAGTAAATTAAAATCATTGTTTTATATTTATTATTTATACTCCAATAGCGAATGTGAAAGAGAATTATTGACAATTTTTGAAAGACAGGATGTGATAGGAGGGTGTGGCATATGGGTTTGCCTTCTGGTTTATATCTCAGAAGAGAAGAAGATTGGAAACTATGAATTTATAATATGTCTTAGCAATATATAGTATAATTTATGTAAAACTCAGGAGATCATATGGGGGTAGAAAGAATAACTAAAATGGGCAACATGGAGTGAAGAAGTGTATATAATAACAGAGAAGACTGAGAATTTGTTTAAATATTTCTTTTTGAAATTAAGAAGTTCAAACTTGGATAATATAAAAATTTGATTATAAACTACATTTTGGTGCCAGGTTTATTGACATATATTGATAATACAGTAGTTTAATTACAGTTTTAATGTAACTGTAAATGGTCATTACATGTGCACTTTGACTGCTTCCTGTACACATAGGGCTAATCATCACAAAATAAATCAAGGATAATGAATGAATAGGATAGGAACTCCAAGTGTCTGCTAAAAATGTGTGTTGTTATAGAGGAATTTCTCTTATTTTTATACAACTTTCAATGTGTAATTGTTCCCATAACCAAACATTTCAAATTTCAAATATGCTAACAAATACAAATCACATTTGTACAGACCACCAAATGATATTGATGAAATTAGTGAGAAACTTTACTATGAGATTAAGATATCAGTTGTTAATGAAGTCATAATTATGGATGCTTTTAATTTCAGGCATATAGATTGGGAAATGCTAGAGTCAAACTATGAGGGAGAAAGGTTTTTGGAAACTGTTCAGGATGGCTTTCTTCACCAATTAGTCAAGGAACTTACTAGAAACAATGCTGTTTTAGATTTATTGTTAACTTAAAATATATAAATGATCGAGAGGGTATAAATTGAGGAACATCTGGGTGCAAGTGATCATTGCTCTATTAGGTTCAATGTTTTGCTGCATATGTAGATAAGGAATAATGATATTTTGGTTACAAATTTCAAAAAACAAATTTTGAAGGGATGCAACAACAATTATCTGTTATGAATTGGGCAGCTGAGTTATTTGGAGACACTGATCAGATGTGGAAAATTTTTAAATATTCAGGGTAAACATATTCCTCATAGAAAGAAAATGGTAGCTGCAAGTAAAAAACCAGGTTGGCTTGAAGGATGATAAAGGAAGGTTTCTATCTGATGATTATGAGATGGCTGGGTTATTAAATTTTGCTTTTTCTTCAGTTTTTACTATGGAAGATTTAAGCACTATTCCACTTCTTGAACAGTTGATAAATGGAAATGAGATCAAACAAGATGACTGCATTAATTCTGACCTGGTTAAGAAAAAATTGGGAAGTTTAAAAAAATAATAAGGCTCCTGGGCCAGATAATATTTCCCCAGGGGTTTTAAAAGAGGTTAGAGACTGGATATGTGAGCCACTGACTACTATTTTTTTACAGTCCTTGAACTGTGGGCTGGTACCAGAGGATTGGAAGTTAGCTAATGTAACTCCTTTTTTTCAACGGAAGTGATAAAGATTGTCCAAGTAATTATAGATCCATTAGCCGTACATCAGTTGTGGGAAAAGTTTTGAAAAGTCTGTTAAAAGATGCTCAGCAAAATCATTTAACAAAGCTCAGAATTTTATTGGATAGTCAACATGGTTTCACTGAGGGAAAGTCTTGCCTTACAAGTCTTTTGACATTCTTTGAAAAGGTTACTGCTTATGTAGATTATGGCAAGGGTGTAGATTTGGTGTATCTGGATTTTCAGAAAGCATTTGACAAAATGCCACATAAAAGGCTTGTAAAAAAATTGTTTCTAGGTGTGGGGGACAAGTTAGCAAATTGGATGGAAGAAAGCAGAGGGTTCTTACAAATGAAGTTAAATCAAACTGGATTAATATCACAAATGGGGTACCTCAGGGCTCAGTCTTAGGACCTTTGCTCTTTTTGATTTACATCAATGACAGATGAAGAAATAGTCAATAATTACTTAAATTTGCAGATGACATTAAGATCTCAGGTGTTGCTAGCTGTGAAGAGGATGCTGCTGATTTACAAAAGGATTTAGGTCATTTAGTGAGTTGAGCAAATAAATGGCAGATGGGTTTTAAGTATAATAAATGCAAAATAATGCACATGGGTTATCATAATTTGAATTATAAGTATAATTTGGATGGGAATAACCTCTACATTGTTATGAAAGAAAGGGATCTTGGTGTAATAGTCGATCATTCTCTAAAGCCATCCAAGCAGTGTGCTGTTGCTAGTGATAGGGGAAATAGGATTTTAGGTTGTATCTACAGAAATATTGAATACAAGTCTGAAGAGGTTATAATTTCATTGTACAGATCACTGGTTAAGCCACATTTGGAATATTGTGTTCAGTCTTGAGCTCCATACCCTAGGAGAGATATTGAATTGTTAGAAAGGATTCAGAAAAGGGTTACTAGAATGGTGCCTGGGATGGAGGGGTTGTCATATGAGATGAGGCTGAAACCTATCAAATTGTTTTCTCTTGAAAAAAGATGAGTTAGAGGAGATCTGATTGAGGTGTTTTAAGATTTTAAAGGGAATTGATAGTGTTGATGCATCATCTTTTTTCATATTTAACAGTGAGAATAGTAGGACTAGGAGATGCAAGTATAAATTTTGACAGGGTAGGAGTCATCTTCAGCTAAGGCAGTTTTATTTTTCTAACAGGGTGGTTGGCCTTTGAAATGGGTTTCCTTCAGATGTTGTCGAGGCAGTAAATTTAAATGAGCTTAAGAAAAAGTTTGATAAGTATATGAATGATAAGGGCTGGCTTTAAGTTGTTTTTTTTGTTTTGTTTTTTTAAGTTAATTTAGTTTAGAGTGTGGAACAGCCGAGATGGACCAATAGGTCCCGTGTTGTCCCAAAATGTTATGTTATAAAGCTTGAGAAACATAACAGGAATGTAAGTTATGTTGTTGTAATGTTAATTGCATATTGTTGTTATACTGTTGTACCATGCAGGGATGAATAACCACTATGATCATCTGCAAGATGAATTTGAATCATCAGTTTATAACTTTCTGCCTTGGTTGAATACACCCCTTGCTACGTATGAGGTACACATTGATGAACTGAGGTAGTATTCAGTGTTATGAAACAACACATATTTTCAATAGAATCTTAAAAACTATTTCCAACATCAGGAATGTGAAAAACATAGAGTCTTGAGATTTATGCAAATCATCAAAAGCAGACTATTTGAATGCTTGTTATCACTTTTAAATTTTGTCATGTAGTAACGAAATGAAAAGAAAAGATTTTCTCAAAATTACTTAAGTTTGAGAGCCAGTTGCAAGACTTACATCATGATGGTATGTGCTTGGGATATAAGACTCACCCTGTTGTACTCATTGCTTGCACTATGTGCACATTTCCTAAGATTTCTTCTTTTCCATTTCTCATTCCTGCCACATATTATAAATCCAATAACCATTCTGTCTATGAAACAGAATACCTTCTCCTCCAACCATTATTGGCAAAATCACTAAACTCTAATTTGGTTTTATTACATGTGTATGTTTTGGTTGTTCTGTTTATATTATCTAATATTTATTGTGTTGATAAAAGTGTTATAACCAATGTGTTAATCAAAAGTTAGTTAAAGTACTAAAATACGTGTTTAGTATTCCTTATCTGAACATATTTCAGACAGATTATTCTGGGATTGTTTGGCTGGCACAGAGTTAGTAAAAACCAGCAGGAAATTGTTCTGGTGTCAAATCCTTTGGATGCTTTAAGTGTGTCCCAAGAAACCAATGTCCCAGCTATAGCTCTACCTCGTGGAACTGCGGCATTACCTCAAGAGGTAAAATACTACTTTGTTCAATCTTGTGTAGAGAAAAAATATCCTGCCTAATCTTTGAAGAGCATAAGGTGAAAATTACTAAAACTATATTTAGTATGTTTATTGACACACACCTCATAGATTTATACAAAGTAGTCTTGAGAAACTTGTAGATTTTGTCAGTGTTTTTGTTAAAAGTAAATAAACTCACCAATAAAATGTTAGTCAGTCATACTTTAGAAACATTATTATTTATAAGCTCTAGTATTGTAACTTAACTAAAGCATTTGAAATTCTGTTCTGATCTGTTTTTTTATCTAATACCATTTCATCAAAGTTATCACGGTCTGATATAAAAGATAACACAATCTTAACTTGTCTGCCACAACCTAGAAAAACATACAAGTTTAACAATATCTCCAGATAATATAATGTTCTTCACATTAAGGCATAAAAACTGAGATATTAAAGTTCAGATTATTAATGCCATTTTTGTTAGCCTGAAAATATGCCCAGTTGATGACAGTATATCTTTAGGTATTAAGTATGATTGTTACTATATTTATAATTATGACACTCCACAATGAATTGAATATTAAAGTACATGATGCTTATCATAAATATATCTAGGTGTTACCTTTGCTGGAACAGTTCCGAAGAATCACCATCTGGTTTGGAAACAATATATCAGAATGGCAAGCTGCCAAGATGTTCGCTCGCAAACTTGGGGAGAAGCGATGCCATTTTGTCAGGTAACTTGGTTAATAAAGCTATGAATTCTGATTAATACTAATTTAGTAAACAAACAAGCCATATGTAATTTGGTCTGTATTTTACACAAAAATATTATAAAATATGGCACATATTAATAGTCAATTCTCAAACTTGAAAGATGATTGCAACTGTTTTTATTCTTAACCTTAGTACTGTCTTCTAATTTCACAATGTTGTAAAAGACCCTTTACTATCAAAAATCTGGGCTGGAATTTTATACATGTAACTTTTAGATTCCTTTCTGATCTGGTAGTAAACTTATCATTTCCAGATATAACTGGTCAGAAGAGAAGGTTTGTAACAAAGGTTTAACTTGTAAATTTAGTAGTATCTCACCTCTAGAATGCTATTACACAGGTCTGCGATTTTAACTTCATAAAAGTTGTTTTGGTTTTAATAAGGAATTTTTCATAATTCAGCTACACAGATTTTGAAAATAATATTCATTTTTTTTCTATCACGTAAGGATTTTTTACGAATTGGAAG